AAAGGTATATAGGTTGGTTTGAGAGGTCAGAATGAAAAGGATTTCTGTGAGGATAAAAAGGTTTGATATGTTCTAGAGGTTTTAGCTTTAGATGAGTATGAAAGTTGAGTTCAAAGACAGCACAATGATCTATGAAGGGGAGAACTGGATTGTCATTTTTCCCCAGAGAAAAATGCAGGGTTTTGCTTTCTATTGTAGGAAAATTCCACCCAAAATATCAATTTGTCATAGTACAGTTAAAGATGAGGGGACTGCAGCAGAAGTCAGGAGATAGCGTGGGTTTGCTGGTGGCAGGCACAGTGTTGCTGACTTTTCATGCATAATTTCTAATCTCAGATCAGTCATGTGGGTGGATTTTCTATGCACGCCTACAGCTAAGGAAAGTAAGTTTTAGAGGAATTAGATGTGTTGCTGGTTACCAAGCTGGGAACCTAGCTCAGGTCTGACTTACTCTAAAATCCTGACTTGTTCCTCTATGTCAAATGTGGCAGGTAGATATGAAAATGGATTAAAAGCTAATTAAAACATTCTGAAAGTTGATCATCTTCACTTTTGACCATAACACATAAAAACAGTAGAGGAATAATACAAACTACCCAAGTCCTTTTGAACTCATTGACTTCAAGAAATAACAATAAATATTCCTTTGTATCACGGTCATATTTTAAAGGGTAAACCAAATCTGTTCCCACTGAATGTTTGTTTCACTTGATTTATCTTTCTTTTTCTTATTCATGAATACTGGTATGTACTTAGAACTGAATTTGAAATAGCAATTTTCAAGAAAGCTGCATATCCTTGTAGACTAATAGGGGTTAGAGATGAAAGGCTATGTGCTTTTAGTTGATTCTAAATTAACAAGTCAGAAAAATGATGAATGAACATTCTGGGATATCGTATTTGAATTAAACAAATGGTGGTCATTTTTTGGGGGGCAGGGGAAACATTTTTTCAAGCTATAGTTTGCTTGTTTGGTTTTACTTGCTAATACAACATTAGATTTAATCCAGATCATAAACTGGGGAGATTTCAGGGGTGACTGGGATGCCTGCCAGTGACTCAATAGGGTTGAGAAATTGTTAGTTGTTGATCAAACTCATGTGGGTGCAGAAATTGTGGAAGAATGAAGAACGTGTGGTAATTCAGGTAGAGATGGCTAATCATTGATTTCTAGCTGAATTTTAAAGCAGAGAGGCAAAAATTAAGACTGTCTCATCTCAGAAGAGAATGATAAGGAGTGGAAAGTGATCACTGGGGGTCCTGTTGCAAAATATTAAACCTCACCGACTTTTTTTCAATCAGGAAGAAACAAATAAGCACATCATCACTGTCCACATCATTTGTTATCACGTCATCTTCTTTTTTTTTGGTCACAGAATTTACCAGAGATTATTTTACATATAAAACTGACTGCTTTTTTTGTGATATAATTTATCTACAGTGTTTTACATCATTGTTCATTTTTTCAGTGTTTGCTTTCTCCTCTTAGGTGTAATCCCCGTAGGATTCCCACACCCATCCACCTGTCTGCCATCACCATAGTCCCTTGATTTCTCTCCCTTGTTTTGAACCTTCTTCTCCCTGCTGTGCTGCAGAATGTCTCTGACTTTTTGTTTCATTTTGGTATGTTTTATTGTGGTTATTTACAGTCATTTGTGTGTTCCCACTAATATAAACATGTTGGGTAGCAATCTTGTGGTTTTATGAATACTTGTAAATGCATACACTATCTTTGATAACTCAAATATCAGATAAGGGTTGGAGGACAGAATTGTACAATAAAAGCAACTTACATATCAATTTTTAGTTAGTCGTATCTGGGGAAATACCATTGAATAAAAGCCCCAAGAAATACACAGTAATAATAACCTTAACTAACTTTTGAAGGACTGCGATAAGGATGAGAAATATGTAAAACCTTTGATGGAACTGGAAAGAAACATTTTATCTTACAGTAATTCTTTAAACTATATGATTCTTTTGCATGTTTTTTACCACAAAAAGATTTCAATAACTACTTTTTTAATCTACAGACAAGTATATTATAAACTATCTGCAAGCTATAGTGATGTTTAATATATGATGCAATACAGATCATTCATTGATCAGAGTTCAGAGTTGTAGCTATGTCACTGCTTATATTCTGCTGATACTCTAGTATCAATTCTTCAGCAAATTGCATGTTCCATGACACGGACAAAGGACTGAACCATCATTTTAGCATGATTAATTTTCTGTTCAATACCAACTTTTGCACGTTTCTCATTAGCAGAAATTTTGCTGAGTAGCAGCTATGAGCTGGGATCCTGCCCTAAGTGAAGCAGAATTTTCTTGTTACACAAGGGACATAAAATACATTTTCCAAGTCATTTTTTTTCCATTTTATGTAAGTTGAATTGTATAAATAATGCCTCGATTTTTTCCTATGAGGTCTCTTGATTTTAGAAAACTCCAAAAAAACACTTTGGAGTGGGGGTGAAGGGCCTTGGCTTTCATATCGCTTTTACTTTCTAAGAAGTCAAAGGGCAGGATGCATGTGTACTGATAAAGTTGAACAAGAATTTGGTTGACTTTAATTAAATCACCTCTCTCTGTCTCATGTTTATGCTATCATCTTTTGCTTTTGGGTAACATGAGATAACTCCAAATCCAATGTCTATTGTTTTGAATTAAAAAAAAAAAATCCTTCTTGCAAGCAATTAGGATCCAGAGGTTAAAGTAACATTCTTTGGCAATTAATAATTTTTGTCAGTATTCTGGGTTATCTCTATGTCCATGTCTACATCTTACATTTTAATGACAAACCTCTCAAGTAGCTGTTAGAATCACTCCTACTTTGCAGGTGTCAAAACAGTGGTTCAAATGGGTTTTGCTTTGTCCAAGGACATTCCAGAGAAGTAGATGGAGCAAAAGTTTGAGCCAAAGCTTTTATTTCCAAATCCCATATTAATCCTTCCAAATAGATCACTAAGATTTTAATCACTTTTAAAAATTCTAGATCTTGTAAAAATGTTTAAAGAAAGGGGTGCCCTTTCCTTTCTAATCAGCTTATTTTGCTTAGCTTGAATTCCCTTTAATTTTTGTGCTTTGATTTGTGATCTCAGTCTCTACAACAACTCTACAGTAATATCCAGTAACCAGTACTATCTACCGTAACCTTAAACTTAACTGTTAAACTCTATGAAATTAAACCTGTTAGGGCAAGTACAATGAAAAATAGCGTTAAGAGGGAGTTATTTTTTTTTTTTTAAAAGAACTGAGCTAACTTAGCAAGCTTCTTGTTACAATGTTTTAGTTTCTTCAGTGTGAAAATTAAGTCGTGATCCATCTGACTTCTTATAGATCAAAGCTCTTGCCTCTGCTCTCATCTAGCACCCTGCTGGAGAGCAATCGAGGTTAAATATATACAGGGGAGAGGCTTTGCCTTTATGATACTAGGACAAATAAACAATCAACTGTACAAATAGCACATGAAGGGAATGTTACTCACACGTGGACCAGTTACTCATGCCTGACTTCAACAGCAAGTCTTGCTAATTGGGTATTGTTTGGACACACTTGAATTTTGGATAATTTGAATCATCCCCTTTTAAAATTCTCTACTTTCTTCTTTTATATAATCTTTATTTGTTTTCTCTACTCAGTAAAGTCTGAACTATCAAATATAGGCTTAGGCATAATAGCAGGCAGAGCAGGAATGGAAAATCTTCAAACAAAGAGAGAACACGAATGAAGGATAGCCTTTCCAAAATGTTGCAGAATACTGAAGAAAGGGAGAGACATCCACAGTCGAGAATATCATTTCATAGGTCTTTCTGAAAGAGAAAACAAATTGCAGGATGAATGATTTCATATAAATATATTATAGATACATATATGTATATTTATACCATCCATCCATGTACTGATCAATAGAGAGTTTCTATTGTTCATGTGTAAGAGTGTGAAAACTTGCCAGTCTCTGGAAAAAATATCCTTACAGTTTATGATCATAAATTGTTAGTTTCATTTTTATATGAATATAAAACAGCCTGAATTGTCAGATGCTGATAAATAACTGCCAGATGTCTTGGTGGAGACACTGAGAACTGGGTCATTCTGGGGTCTAGACTGAGACTTCCTCAGCTATACTGTGGCAGGGTAGCCATACTGACTTTGGCAATTTTGATTCATATCAAACATAGAAGATTAAAAAGTATGGGGGAATGCAAGCACTTTTTATTATATCCTAGAATTTAGAGGATTTTCATTACATGAGTTTATAAATGGATTTGATATATATCAAAGGTGTGCTGTCTACTTCTGTTTGTGCTTCACTCTCAGTAGATCAATGGCTAATGGAATGCTGATAATAGATGATAATGATGGGAATGATTAAAGACAATCTAAGATGTTGCTTATTACCTAAAGACAATCTAAGATGTTGCTTATTACCTAGGCAGTTAAAGATAACAGGTTATCTATTTAGTATCTATCAATCATGTATCTGTCTGTCTATCCGTCTATGTGTGTATCTATCTATCTACCTAGATAACCTATGTACTTATGCAGATACTCCATTATTTCCACTCAAATTATTCCACACGGACCATAACACCATCATTGTACTAGGGATTACCAAGAGTTCTTACCAGCTCTTTGTGGTTAATTGATATTACCCAGGGACACTTGAAGCAAGAGATCCTGTAGGAATCACCTCTAAAACATGTCATCAAAATTCCTTTGCCATCATCATCCTTGAAACATACTAAGCAAGTTTATGTTTGTGAGATTTACATATGGAGAACTATTGTATTTTGCAGCAAACACATGACTGGTTACAGTACTTAATTCTGTGATTGTTAGAAAGACAGAATTTTGTCCATGATAATCAATCTAAATCTTTCTAAAATCTAATGGTCCAGCAACGGAAAATAGAGCTTCTCAACAGAAGTTCAATGAGCTTCTTTCTGACTTTGACTGACACCTCCTTCCTTGTTTTTTTTTTTGCTTATTCCTAGAATGCAGCCCCAACAGTCCCAGCAGCAGCGTCGAAAATTTGCAGCTGCCTTCTTGGCATTCATTTTCATTTTGGCAGCTGTGGACTCTGCTGAAGCAGGAAAAAAAGAGAAACCAGGTAAGGGTTAGAGTTATGAAGGCAAAGACACTTCACTGATGAATATCCACATAACCCAGTATGTGCTTTATCCAACTTTCTCCCTCCAACTTTCTCCCCTTCTCTCCTCCCTTTCTTTTGCCTAAATAGAGGAATATAAGTTACATCCCTCCATTCCTCCCATTATAATTCCTTCAGTATAGTGGCCAATGATCTTTAACAAAACAATCCCATTATCAACTACTGCATACAGATCTTAGACCAGCAAGCAGGTATACCTCTCTTCTTCTGGAAGAGTCCTGTAAGGAATCTTACTATAGCTCACACAAAGGCAGCAGCTGAAGCCTCAGAAGCATAAAGCCCCTGTTAATGTCACTCCCAAAGTCATAAGTAGACTGAGGACCTGGAAGTGTTTCCCTTCTGTGATGTACCACTTTATTTCATTTTAGTGGATGCATTGAAATGACTCCTGTGACAACTGTCTGATTAGTAAGTTATTCTAAAGGAATGTTTCCTCATTTTTAGAGTTTAACAATTTTCGACCATCTCTTTTGCTTAGAAATATTTGTTTCTAAAAAAAAATGTAAGTCACCCAGCACAACCTATGGCACATAGTAAGAGCAGTATTATTATTGGTTCTTGGTCCTTCCTCAGTTTCTTTCTCTTTTCTTGGGTCAGTCATTGATGTAATCACTTCACCAACACCTGTCAAGTTTCTATTTTTTGGACACTACATTTTTTTGGAGCGAAGGCACCAGGGAATTAGCTCAGTTTTATCTAGGAATGAATGAGTGTGCTCGTAAGTTGGTTATTTTCCTTCCTCCCTTCCTTCCGTCCGTCCAGAAAAAAAAGTAAAGAAGTCTGACTGTGGAGAATGGCAGTGGAGCGTGTGTGTGCCCACCAGTGGGGACTGTGGGCTGGGCACCCGCGAGGGCACCCGCACTGGAGCAGAGTGCAAGCAAACCATGAAGACCCAGAGATGTAAGATCCCCTGCAACTGGAAAAAGCAATTTGGAGGTACGTGTCCCCTCTATTATCCTATGGATTAATCTTCCACTAAATATCTTATTGAGGCTGACAACTATTTATTTTAAATACTTTTATTGTATCAGGAACAAACTAATTAGGCATCTCATCTCCCTAAGTCCAGATTACTCGACGTTGCTCATTAACATCTTGGGCCAGATATGTTTTGTTGTTGAGGGCTGTCCGGTGCATTGTGGAATATTTAGCATCATCCCTGGCTTCTACCCAGAAGTTCCTGGCACCGCACTCTCCCTCCACTAGTTATCACAAATACAAATATTTCTAGATATTGCCAAATGTTTTCTGGGGGTCCAAATAATCTTTACTTATAATACAAAACCAAATCTGTCTAACACACAACATATCAATTGGACACTTGGGGATTTATACTTAAGAAATGGAGACTTATGTTTCCATAAAATTCTGTACACCGTTGTATATAGCAGTTTTACTTATAACTGAAAGCTGGAAACAATCCAGTGTCCTTCAACTGGTAAATGGTTCAGCAAACTATACGATGGAACTCAGCAATAGAAAGGAAATTGACAGTTGATGTACACAACTTGGGTGGCTCTCCAAGAACTTATGCGGTGTGAAGCAAGTCAGTCTCAAAATGTTATATACTATATGCTTCTACTTACATAGCACTTTTAAGATGACAAAATTAGAACTGTAGAGGACAGATGGTAGTTTCTAGGATGATGGGAAGGAGGAAGTGAACAAGGGTCCTTGTGTAGGAACTGTTCTGTGTACTAACACTGTGTATTAACACTGGTGGTGTTCACTGGTATCTAGATATGATAAAGCCATATTTAACGGTGTTGAATACACATATATAAGTGCTTGTGAATTGGTGAAATGACAAAAGTTCTGTGACATACATTCATGTCAATTACCTGGTTGTGCTACTGGACTGTAATTATGCAAGCTATCACAAGTGAAGGATTGGCTGAAAGAATATGGAATTTCTCTGTGCTATTTCTCACAAGTGCTTGTGAATGTGCAATGACCTCATTAAAAAGTCTAACACAAAGGCATGTCTTTATTTTCATGGCAATGTCAGAGGTTCTCAATGAATTCTGTTTGGTCTTACCCTGCTTTTAGCGGAGTGCAAGTATCAATTCCAGGCCTGGGGAGAATGTGACCTGAATACCGCCTTGAAGACCAGAACTGGGAGTCTGAAGCGAGCCCTCCATAATGCTGAATGTCAGAAGACAGTTACCATCTCCAAGCCCTGTGGCAAACTGACTAAGCCCAAACCTCAAGGTAAGTCCCTGCCTTCCTCTGCACTTTTAATGTGGATGTACTAATGTACTCAGGCAGGATCTTCAGATATGGAAGCATGAATTTTCCAGAAGGAAATCTTGGATGAATTGAGCTAGGATTTCAATAAGCCTCGTGTTGAGGTTTTTTCAGTCACTGGTTAGCAGACAGTTGATAAGCTCAAGGTGCAATCATCTACCCAGATGTGGGATAAGTATAATTCCATAGCATAAATAACAACTTTAGCAAAACAGGCCTCATGAGAAGTTATGGGGACTGAGTATCCCATACCTTCTGTTTGGACCACATCTTGACAAGTATAAAGGGGATCACAAGAAAGGCAGCTTTCAGCCTAGTCTCTCCTAGATAGTCTGAACACATGTAGCTTTCATGAAGTCAGCTAAGTAATTTCACATTTTTTCCTTTTACCACCATATCTTGATAGGTTTTATAGCTCTTATATTTTCAGAGACTTCATATTCTTTAGATTAACTGACCAACTACAGTTATCATAGAATTTAAAATTTTATAGCATTCTTTTTCTAGTCATTCTCATTAAGTCAGACTCTGTTCTCATACTGAAGAAAGCAAATCAAAAACAAATATCACAGCCATGGTTTCATACAAATGGAATCCCAGGGAAGACAAAAACATCCTAAACTCTTTTATTTTATGGATGTTTTAGGTTGAATGATGTCTTCCCCAAATTCATAGGTTGAAGTCCTAAGATGCTTTTTTTCATTAAAAATTTTTTTTCTGGACCTATTTTTTTTTTTAAATTGAGGTAACATTGGTTTATAATTCTGTATGTAATCTCCTAACATTTGTTAATGTACCTTGGAATGTGTGTCTATTTGGAGATAGGATCTTTATAAAGAGGAAATTAAAATGAATTGAGGTCACATGAGTAGAGCTATACCAAGAGGACCTGTGCACTTGTAAGAGACTAGATGTGGACATACATGAGGGAAGGACATATGAAGACACAGAAGAGGGTCTTCTGCAAGTTAAGGAGACTCTAGGTATAATTGACCCTGGTAACACCTTGATTTGGAACTTCTAGCCTCAAGAGTTGTAGACAATAAATTTCTATTGTGTGGGCTACCCATCCTGTGGCCCTAACCTATAGTAACCCTAGGAAACGACTATAATAAGCTTCTTCACTCCAGATAAAGATCCCTTCATGGTCTCTACTCACATTGTGTGCACTAACACAAATATAAGAACTCATATAGACCAGATTCATTATAATGAGAAACTCAGAAAAAAAATACCATGAGGCCTATAATAAATGAAAATGGAAAAAAAAATTGTAGAAATTGGAGAGGATTGCTTGTTGTTGGTAGCCAAAAAAGGTTGTTTCAGAGGCCTAGCTTTCCAACCTGTGAGGGACTTGTCTGAGAAGTGATTTCCTGCAGGATGGAGAGTGGAGGTTGCCCGCTGCCTTCCCAGGGAGAGCAGGTCTCTGCTGCTTGTTGTGTGACATAGGGCTGGGGTTAGCACACTGGACCTCAGGATCAGCTTTACAGATGTCTCTTGTCCAGGCCCCACAGTAGAGATCTAATGAAAATGAATGGCCACTGCTATTCAATAAGACATGCCCCAAACTAGAAAGGCTCAAAGATGCAGGTTTCAAATCAATTTATACTTAAACCAGCCAGAAAACCAAAATATTCAGCACTTAGAGAGTAAAAAAGAGAAAGGATTAAGGATGTCTCTACATTCTAACTCAGTGGTGGGGTTGTTGGTGGGGTTGGGTGACTCCAGAAAGTTTTAGTAAGTTTGGGTTTAACAGGACACAGAGGAGACGTGATTAATAAAGACCCCTCAGCATATTTAATGAACACTTTCAGAAACAACTCGTTTTTAATTTGATATTTTTTTTCCCATCCAGTAAGCTTTAAGAAAAGCTAAAGCTTGAGTCCCTGCTCACAATAACCTCAATTCCTTTTATTTCTTCCCAGCTAGTTCTAACAGTTTTGCATGTTGTTGTTCTTTCTTTTGGACAGTTGCCTAACTCGCTCTTTGGTTTGACAGTTCCTCCTCAGAGATCAGAGGACAGCAACTGTTTTAGGGCCGGAGTCAGCTGTGTGGGGCACACGGCTTGGCAGCTGACTGTTAAATGAGAAAAGGGGGTCAGTAAAGGGAGATTCCCAGAATTCTTGGGTCTTCCCCACCATGTGGATTCTTTTGTCAGCTTGTCTAAAGATATAAGAAGTGGTCGACACTTTCCTCTGTTTTCTGGGATTCCATAGGGGTGAGTTGGTGACATTCTGTGGATGAAAGTGTTGAGGTCAGGAGCTACATCTCATGTATAGATCCTTGTTATCTTCAGGTCACGAGAGTAATTCAGTGAACAGTACTGGCTTCAGTGAGTAGACGGATGGATGGATGAATAAATGAATGAATGAATGAATGATGTGTCTAGCCAAATTTTCCTATCTCCCATCACAATTTCATAGACCCCAACATGTACAGAAAAATCCAGGTCACCTAAAAGAAGCCATCTGTGTATTTTAGTCCCATCCTATTAAAAAATGTCTTGGTCCTAATTGCCAGGACAGATGTGAGAACTAGAACTATAAATATTTGTAGGGTTTACTTCACACTGTGTGTCTGCTTTCATCTCCCTTGGTAAATTCCATGCACAAAGGCTCATTAGCTGTGCATACACAAAACAGCTCTATAATAATTAGTGTTAAGGTAGGCTGCCGAAGAGAACAGTGTTCGCACTAATGAGTCACCACATCGAGGGACCTTTTTTCCCCTGCCATCAAGCATTTCTACCTTCTAACTTTTGGACTTTTGGACAGAAAAGATCAGTTCCAGGTTGGAAGTTGTTACTCTTGTCATCAGCGTTTCTTTAAAATCAGTTCCTATGGATGGAGTAGTTAAGGCTTGACGGGCATCATTCAAAGTCTCTGGCTTGCACTGACTTAGTGCTCACTATAGCCCTGGGAGTTTTGTTTCCATTTTACTACTGAGGACACTAGGGTGGCAGCTTGTACAGGTGGGGTCAGTCTTGAACTTGAAGTCAAGACAGCCTATTTCCAGAGGTCTCCATTTAACAAGACCTTCTAAACTGAGCGCTTCCTAAGGAACTGCTTTGTTTCTCTTTGTAAACTTTTGGTTTCTGTTTTGGTCATCAGCCCTCAGTATGTCTGGAGTTATTCATGAAGGAATGTGTCAGATCATTTTTGACTCAAGCTTGCCTTTGTATAATTGCACTGAAGCAAAATACAAATATGTGTATGCATATAAAAACTGGGGTGTAGACCAAAGGTGGGCGGGGGAGGAGAGAGGATTCATCAGAGGCAGATTGGGAAGCAGAACAGGAGATGTGCTGAAATACACTGTGGAGGGGAGCAGCAGGGAGACAGGAGAGGTCTGCTGTGCCATGTGGGTCAGCTCCTTGGCTGGGGATGGAATTCGTGCTGCAGTGGCTGTGGACAGCTTCACAGTGCTGCGCTTTAAGCCCTTGCACCACCAGGGAGGGACCTTGTTTTTGGATTTTCAATAGACATGATTTCTTCCTGTATTGTACCCTTAAAATATGCTACCCCAATGTCAACTGCAATCATGGGAAATTTAATGAATGGTGCCATGTCCATAAGCCTAGCTAGCTGGTACCTGGATTCTGGGTAGAACAATGAGTTTATACTGATGATTCAACCAGCCTTGTTATCATTTCTGAGGCAGAGCTGGCTTAGAGCAAGAGATTAGGGATTTGTATGTGGTTAGTTAGCTAATTCTTAAGCAACTTAATGTTCATAGATTCAGGGCACATGGCAAGGATTATAGATATAGTCTGACTTTTGGACATATTATATTGTGTTAGTACTGCTGTCTAGTATTACAATCCTGTTCTTTTGTGGTAGTAATATGTGAATTAATTAATTGATTGATTTCTCCTTTAGGCTTCCAGGCTTTATGGAACCTGTCTTCCAAGTAGGGGTTATGGTAGCTAGTACATGCCACCCCCAACTAGCAGTGGTGACCTTCCGAATCTGCAGTGTTCATTGCATCCTCATGTATGAATTCTGTCTCTTGGAAGGTGTAAATCTATTATCTAATCAATTAGATATTTTATTCTTATTCTATCAATTAATTATTAATCGATTAGATACTCTATTATTCTATCTATTCTAATTAATTATCCCGCTTATTGACCTGTAACCCCGAATCACTGTATTTTGGCCCATGGTAAAAACTCTTGCTGTAGCAAGAGTTAAGATGCAGGCTCTTCTTAGTCATATCATCTTTGATAAGATTTCTTTGTCATGTTTTCTGTATACAGAGCAGGCTACCTGGAAAAAAAGGGTATCAAACCAAAAAGTTTTATAGAAGGTGAGATGAGCTTATTCTAGAATTTCCAATTCTTCTACTAGTTGGGATAACATCTCTCCTGAAGGTCTTTGACAGGTCTTTGAATTGGTATCTTTTATCAAGACCCATCGCTGACACTATTTATATCAGATTCCCGTAGTATTGAAAAATTGGGTGGGTGTTTACTTGTGCCAATGACATGGTAGTCCTATTTCTAGAAGGGTTTATGAATAAATGGAAAGAGATGATACATGCTATTTGATTATTTGCCTTTTGAGAACAAGTTTGCTGCAATAGCATTGCATATATAACATAGTGTTGCATACGTTGCTGATAAGAATTTAAATGAATAATTCCTTTCAGAAAAAAAATTTTTTTCACTACATAGAACTTTACAAATGCCCTTTAATCCAGCAGATCCACTTCTAGTAATCTATACCAAGGCAAAACTTAAATTGATGTGATTTGTCTGCAAAACATTCTTTACATTATTACATTTTTGCATAGTATTATTACTTATGATACAACTGAGAACAAGTGACTGAAAAACCAAAGGACAGCTACCAAAAATATGGCATGGAATGGCACAGAGGAATATTGAGAAAGGTCATGTTTCAAAGTATAAGCAATGACATGGAAAAATACAGTCTGATTTTCAGTATAATGTTCTTTATCAACTGGCACTATGTTCCTAGTGAAAGTCTGTATTTCATTTATTCACAAAAAGCACATAACTGGAACCCGGAGCTAAAAGTGTTACCTCTCCATTACCTAACTCTGAATCATTTCTGTTAATATATGTGTATATTTTACATGTTCTGTATGTTTTTAAAACCAGAAAAGTAATTAATATTGTTTAAAGAATGAAATAACTGAGAAAAGAAACTTCTCACTGAATTAAATTGCCAGAGAAGCTCTTTCTTCTTAGGAATTCACTCTTCCTGTGGATCTTCCGCCTTTCACATCATAAGCATCTGCGATATCAGAGTAAACCAGTAATCAGAGAACTAACTAGGCATTGATGCCCAAACAATAGCTTTATATACCATGACCTTTCATGCAAATATTTACTTTAGATTACCTTTAAACTTTGAAACATGCTCACTTAGAGCAATCCTGAACATTTATTATGGAAACTCTGAAAGCAGAGTTTTTCTTGTTTGTCATTCTATACCAGCATCTAGAACAGTGCCTGATAAATTGTGGACATGGAGCTTATATCTGCTAAATGAATGTCTTTTGAAAAATGGTAGTACAGTGGGAACTTAGTGGACATAATCTTAAATGTTATTCATGATGGCCTTCTGTGGAGGGTACACTCAGTTATTTTATACCTAAGTTTACAGGAAATAGATGCAGAAAGGTTGATTTGCCCAAGATCACAGAGTCGGTCAACAGACATTGGTTAGAAACAATTCTGTAGGTGAAGGCTTGGTTTCAGCAAGTTGCTAGATGAAATTCATTGTTTTTTTTATTGCCTTTCTAAAACAAATGGCCAGAATACTTCAGTGTCCATCAGAGGTTTGTTTTCTACTCAGAATTTTAAAATTCCATGGAAGCGTTTGGATTTGTTCATATGGCTGTTGTGAATTCCTGTGCTTTCTTACTTCCTCTCTTTTATCAGTAGCTACTATGCATTAAAAGAATTTTCTAGGCTAAAACTTGAGTTTTCTGAGTACAGTAGAGTAAAGAATTACACTGACATTATGACTGTTATCAATATAAAGAAACTGGACATTTTCTGTAATGTTTTGTCTTAGGAAATATTGGAATTTCTGGATGCCTCAGACAATTTAAACAAAACAACATGTTTCTATTCAGATAACACAAAGTTTTATACCTTAAATTTCTCACAGTGGGCAGAGACAGCATGCACATTTAGAAACCCAGTGAGTTAAAACATATACTAAGGTGTCCACGGTGCATTTCCACCACAGTGATGTCCCCTCTTACATGTGTGTGTTTATATGTGCGTGTATGGAAGTGTGTGTACACATATGTGTATATGTTTGCATGTGTGTGTCTGTGGCAGTTATAAAACCGGAGATAAATGCTTTCCAAAGGGAGCTAGCTTACAAAAACTAACTCACACCAAATGGTCAGCAAACAAAAGTGTTGAAATGGGTATGGTCTTCACAAGGGGGTGGTGAAAGTGTTGGTTGATGGAACAAAGAGAAAGCTAGAAAGCTAAAGACCAGGAGAGAAAAAGAATGATATGTTTTGGGAATTGAAATAAACCTAAGTGTCGAGACGGAGGAGATGTGAATGACAAACGACATAGAAGCATGAGGTAAGCCGAGTCGGCCTCTGCTGGGATGTAATGAGCGCCAGAGGCGGCCACATCACAGGAAGGGTCCCACGATGTGTCAGAGACTGGGCTTCTCCCTTTCTACTGCTGGCTCGTTGTTCACCTTGAGCAATCACTAGCACTCTTGACCTCTATTTTTTTAAAAAAAGATTTATTTATGTATGCATACAGAACTGGGTTACAGGCTAGAGGTGCAGAGAGTGAAAGGTTTCACTAGAGACAGAGTGGGGAGTAGAACAGGCAAATGTACTGAAGTACACTGCTGAGGGGAGCAGCGGGTGGTCAGGAGAGGTCTGCCGCACCATGTGGGTCACCTCTGAGGCAGGCGGGAGTTGAACTCATGCGGAAGTGGCCTCAGATTCTCAGTGCTGTGCTTTAACCCGCTGCACCACCAGGATACTTCAATTTTTATTAAATGAATAAATACAGACACCTGGTAGGCATGACACCCTTTCAGACATATGTATGAAATAATAAGCTAACCAAAATACTTAAGTTACTGGATAAACAGTAAGAGCTAGAGGTTACACATTAGGTAGATGTCCCAATAGGGGAGATGGAGAAACTGAGACAAAGGAAACCAGAGTCTTACACCCAGTGGACACCCTAGATTATTCCCTGATGACATCATCCTAAAGCACAACTGTTGCTTAAAATGTCAGCCAAAGACTGGAACTTAATAATTATTCAGACACAGACTATTAAGAGATTAAGCAGAAAACCTTGTTTGACCTTAGAGGTACCTTGGAAGTTCTGGTTAGTTCACCTGTCATATGTCAGAAGATGGAGACACTTGCAATGACAAGCCAAAATAGAGAGGTTCAGTATAGAATGAGGGAAAACTGAGGAGCCAGAGGAATATATGCGAGCAGTCATGCAGCAAAATTTTAGCAACTCTTGGCTTGATTGATTACATGTGGTGTAGTCTTGAAGTTTGAGGGGAGGACACAGGCAGATCACTTTGCACAGCAATATCAGTTTGCCCCAAACCTAATGGACTTAAGACCTATCTGACGTGGTGGTAAGTATAAGAGTGAAAATGTGTGGTTGGTAAACACCCCCCCACCCTCACCAGAAGCCAAGGACCTTCTTGGACACTGGCCCTATGGTCCAATTAACAGTGCCATATGTCTTGATGGTGATGAATATTAATTTTACAGAGAAATGAGCTTTTGTTCATAGTCTGCTATCACCTTTATGATACATGCTAACCTTTATTGAACACGTGTAAATGTGTCACACTGTATTCACAGTGGATTTACACAACTCATTTCATTTGGATATTGACCCTATGAAGTGATACAGTCACAGGTGAGGAATCTGAGACATAAATACTTGAAATAACCTTTCCAGAATCTCCAGGTAACTTAGTGAGGAATTCAGGATTGAAACCTGCAGTCTGATTCTATCCCTAATCCATGTATTTTTAACACGAGGCTAGACTGGATGGGGGAATGATCTGAGAAATGCTTAGCAATAGCCTTTCACTGGGTAGCCACATAATTCTAATCATTCTTATCACAGCTGACATGTCCTATACTATGCTTCACTCTGTGCTTAGGAATAGAGAGATGGTAAAATGATTGAATGGAAAAGGATAGAATCTTTTGTTTGAAATCTGATAGTTGTACTTAACTGCTACATCCCAGGTTGGTACTATACACCTGCTTCAGCCTAGACTAGAAATGTTTGCAGTGTCCCTGGAGGTGAGAGACTAAATAAAGGTTTTATAGTTCTTTGCTGAGCAGTGAACTGACTTACTCAAAAAAGCTTATTGTATTTCAATTTTGTAAGTAGGACCTGCAGACAATTCTTCATTTGTCACAGGGGGCTACCGATAAGGTGACAGGCATGTGTTGGTATTCACACAGAGGTAGACTGCATTCCGCTTGCTTAGTCTCTCTCTCTCCCTTTCCTTTTCTCTCCCTCTTTCACACCCATCTTGTCAATCTAATTGCTGTATTTCTGTGAATTTTAAGAAAACTGGCTTTTCCCTTTCCCCTTGTAACTTTCTAATGTGTTGATATTTTTTCCTTTCTTTTATTTTTAATTACAGCAGAATCTAAGAAGAAGAAAAAGGAAGGCAAGAAACAGGAGAAATTGCTGGACTAAAGGATGCCATCTTCTGCGAAAAATGAAACGGACATCAGCAGACAGGACCAGTTAACTATTGCATTTATACCTACCATAGGCTTTTTATTCAGAAATACCCATAGCTTAAGTACAAAATAGGCAGAAAAAAAAAGAAAGAAAATTTTTTGTAGTAGCATTTTTTAAATGTATACCATAGTACCATTAGAGGCTTATAATACAGGACTGTAATCCTACTTAGAAAGTTACTTATAGTATCTGATAAATGATAGCAAATTGAGGTAAGTTTTTTTGAAGTTATGTGATATTTTACATTTAAAGTCTTTCTTTTTTACACTTTTTCCCCCTTTTGGCAGTCATTTAAATGTTATGATCATGTAAACTACTTCTCTTGTTAGGTAATTTTTTCACCTAGACTTTTTTTCCCAGTTGAGAAAAATATATACTAAACAAAAGCAGCAATAAAATATAATCATTGTATTTGAGGAAAATATCTTGTTTTCTGCCAATGGATTTTTTTAAATGTAGTCAGCGAAGTTGGGGGGAGGGAGGTTGAGCATGTATTAGTTCAACATTGACTTTTTTTTTAAAGAAAAGCATTAAAACATGAGATTCTTTCACTTTGGCAGAAACATTTGTTTTCTTGATGAAATTATTTTTCCATATGAGGAACAAAAAAAAAAAAAAAAGACTAGGAAAATAAATCAAGGTAATGCTGAAAAAAATGGTCCTTTGTGTGCAATAATTTGATATTGTGACCCCCTCCTTCCGTTAACGAGATTCTCCATCCATCAACCTGTTAGCAGTGAGAATTTATCAAACACACTAATGAAAATCTCTCTTGTGTACAGATGTTACAGAAAGGTTATACAGATAGATAGAGATAGATGTAACTCTAGCATTCTATCAGTATTTAGTAAGTTAGAATGGTACTACTGAATTGAATGACCATTCCAAAGTCATCTAGATTTTGTTGAAACAGAAAAAATGTTTTTAAATGGAAGAGTTCCAAATTACAGAGGCCAAATCAGGATTGGCGTAAAACAATGCAGAATGGTAGTTGGTACTCGGTTTTTATTTTTTTTTTTAAAATTTATTTATTTATTTATTTATTTGTATAAAAGAACTGGGGTACAGGCCAGAGGTGTGTGGAGTAAGAGGATTCATCAGAGACAGAGCTGGGAATAGAATAGGCAGAACCACTGAACTCCAGTGCTGAGGGGAGCAGTGGGGAGACAGGAGAGGTCTGCTGCGCCATGTGGGTCACCTCCCTGGCCGGGAATCGAACTTGTGCCGCAATGACTGTGGATAGATTTCCTGCTGTGCTTTAACCCTTTGTGCTACCCGGAAGGCCCCATACTTGGTTTTTATAAACCAGAAATTCTTTCCCTGTTGCTATCACAGCACCAAAGTCAGCTGTATAACTCCCTTGCCTGCTGGATGCTAAGCTATATCGTTAAGTAAGCAAATCTGTGCTTTTCTTAGAGAACTCAAGTCTCAGAAGCCAACTGGGAGGGATAAGTATTTCCTTGAAGTAACTGATTCTAAATAACTCAATCAAACTCAATAAACCAGCAACACTCTACCAGATCTAAGTCCATTTTCAGAAACTGTGCTTGCAACATGCCCTGAGTTAGTCATAAAATATTTATGAATTGATAGAACGATGCAGCTAAAGTATCTTTAAAGCTAAACTGTCTCTGTTGTCTATTCAGAGCCTCCATTTGATTGAGGAATGCTGAGGGGGGTCCATAGCTCCCTGCAAAGTCAAAGCCAATGCCAGTGAGGATGGTCTTTTTAAAAAGACTTATTTAGGGCCCTCCCTGGTGGCGCAGCGGGTTAAAGCACAGCACTGAGAATCTAAAGCCGCTACCACATGAGTTCGATTCCTGCCTGCCCGGGAGGTGACCACATGGCGCGGCAGACCTCTCCTGACCCGCCCGCTGCTCCCCTCAGCAGTGTACTTTGTCAGTCTGCCTGTTCTGCTCCCCACTCTGTCCCTGGTGAATCCTCTCACCCTCCACATCTCTGGCCTGTACCCCAGTTCTGTACGAATAAATAAATAAATCTTTAAAAAAAAAAGACTTATTTATTTATGCATACAAGAACTGGGGTATAGACCAGAGGTGCGTGGGGTGGGAGAGGTAAGAGGATTCTCCAGAGACAGAATGAGGAGCCAAAAAGGCAGATCTACTGAAACACACAGCAGAAGGGAGCAGTGGGGAGACAAGAGAGGTCTGCTGCACATTGTGGGTCAGCTCCCTGGCCGGGGATTGAACTCGTGCTGCAGTAGCTGCATAGAGCTTCATAGCACTATGCTTAACCCCTTGTGCCACCAGGGAGAGACTTTGACTTTGGCAATGGACTTTTGTATGCATGTACTGAAGATTTTATGAACTGGTGTATAATAGAAGCAAAGTACTTGTAAAGTGCACTTGACAGAAATGCGAATAGAGAATGCAATTCTCTTGCAAACAGATCTTAATAGGATAAAAGTACTCGTGGGGATAGGTGGAGAAGCTGAAAGAAAGTCATTGACTGGAGTGGGCTTTCTGACAACAAAGGCCCATAGGGTATGGGTGGTGGAAGGCCACCCCAAATTTTGTTAGCCTCTCATGTGGCTTTGTTCCTCCATCATTGTCTAGTCAAAATAGCAGCTCATAAATCGGTAATGAGTTAAGGCTAACTGAAGCAAAATCTCCCAAAGGACAAGCAGTTCTGCAGATAATCATGGCATCCTTGTTATTCTCAGAGCACAGAAGGCCCTGGAAGGGTGGGGCTGTTTGCTCAGTGGAGGATTGAGTCCTAACAAACCATATCATTCCCTGATTCTCTGTTAAAGCAAGGGTTGGAGTGTCAATTTCCGGTGCATACATAGGTTATTGATCACTCTTCCTCTGGGCCTCCATAATTCTGCTGGCCCAAAGCAACTTTAAACATTGTACTGAATCACTGAAATAATGAAACAGAAGTAGCAAAGAACAATTACCAAAAATCACCCATGTTCACAAAAGAGGATAAACAGACCATCTGCAGATATATTTCAGAGTGCAAGACTAACTCTCACCCAGATTCACTGAATTTCAGGACCTTTATCCTAAAGTTGACAAAGCCTGTAGATTGCACAACAGCCCCCAGCAAAGGCCTCCCAATCATAATCTTTCAGAGACTGGAAAATGTCCTGTTAGGCTTTGCCTGGGTTTTCTGGGGACTTTTTTTTTTTTTTTTTTTTTAAGACAAGCAGTAGATTTACTAAAGTCTTTGTGTATACATTAGGAAAAATCTATGAGACTCTAGTTACCATAATAATGATATTTTGACTTATATTCCTGGACTGACAGCCTGATGTCCTCTAGCTCTATGAGAATGGAATTTCAAACAGAATTTAGCACTTAATATTTTCAAGTAAAATCCTATAAATTGTGTGGGTGAGAAGATGTGGGTATAAAAGTTTAATAGCTTCATTTGCAGGTGCTTGTCTGTAAGGAGTCTAATTTGAGGTACAAGTGTTTCAGTATTTTTCCCATTGGGAAGATAAATATGTCTTTAGAAATAGGAGTATAAATTTTTCTCATAGAACTCTTGGCTCCATAATTTTGAAAATTTAAGTTAATTGTGTTCTACATTTTTAAATGAAAAACACACTTCATTTAGGAAGCCCTGAATAAGGTAATAGAAAATACTGTCATTCACAGATTGAATTATTTTAAAATAGTCCCCAAATGAAAAAATTATCAACCTTTAGTAATGGGACTTTCGCTGGGTTTCCTCCTATTAATGTGTTCCAAAAATTATAAGACAGATCAGCATCTTGCATGTGGAATATCAATTTCTTTTTTTTTCTGATTTTTAATTCAATGAGGTTTAACCCTTAAGGTTTTTGAATTGGATTTGATCAGAAGGTGAGGATTTGATCAGTACTTTTCTGTGAGTGCAAATTTTGATACTACTTTGGAAAAAAAGCAACTTCTTCACTGTCTTTAGGTTACTTCTGAGTTGCAAATATTCTCCCTGTGTGTTTCTTTATCATTCCCCATTGGACCTTGGCTGCCACAATCAGGCAGATAGAAAGTGAGAGAATACTATTTTCTTGTGTTTGGAACCTTCAGCAGCAGATAGTAACTGCTCTGGATCTCAAAATAGATGTATTTTCAACCTGTTTTTCAAAGAAGATATGGAATCTGGGAATACACTAGCATTAAGAGAAGGATGTAAGTTATCCTGCTCATCCCTCAAGTAATACCTACCTCTACTTATGTGGATTCTAATTGCCCTGGAAATAAAAGCTATGGGCCATTTCAATAAGAGTAAAAACACCATCATCTTAAAAATCAAGCCACCCCTCACTCTTCCTGTTCTTTCTAACCTTTCAGTCTTCTAAGCAAGGCACTGATAATAAAGTCAAATGTTCTGTACTGCTAGGGTTGCAAGTAAAATAATGTCATCTAAAAATAATTCAACACAAAGGAATGCAGACCTGTGGTTGTTTTTTTTTTTTTAACTTAATAAGGAAAATTAGCTCTCAGTATCTAACTTCTGAAAAGTGAATTTTTTTTTTTAAGATTTATTTATTTGTGCGTACAGAACTGGGGTATAGGCCAGAGGTTCAGGAGCGGCGAGAGACTTCACCAGAAACAGAGTGGGGAGCAGAACAGCTAGATCGACGAGGTACACTGCTGAGGGGAGCAGCGGGCGGGCCAGGAGAGGTCTGCCACGCCATGTGGTCCCTTCCGGGGCAGGCGGGAATCGAACTCATGCGGAAGCGGCTTTAGATTCTCAGTGCTGTGCTTTAACCCGCTGCGCCACCAGGGAGGGCCCTGAAAAGTGAATTTTTTTAAAGGACAAAATCTTAACAGGAAGAACATCAATGTATTTCATATGCATATTTTCACTAAAAGTATGGCCGTAGGTCCCTCCTGGGTTGGCTAAGGTTAGGTATCTAGATTACCAGAACATATTTTCTTTTGTCTTTAGCAAATATGCGTGGAAGCCCTACAGTTCACATTAGAGAATGAATACATGGAAAATCCTGACATCATTTCCCTAAACTCCTGGGACTGGAAGAATGCCTGAGAGGCTGCAAGACCAAGCAATTCGATCTATATACTCAATTTGCTCTTGAGATACAAGAGCATAATAAATACAAGATATATTTATGTAAGATACAAATGTTACATAAATAAATTCAGCACAAGGAATGCTTCTTTTCCCTCTGTCTTTGTCAGATCCATCAAACACAGGCCAGAGAAGCCTTCAGATTTATGAGATTCTTGGAGAATTATGCAAAGACCTGTTACTGTAAATGATAAATGGATTCAGATGCTTGTAATAACTGATAAGAATTTTAGAATTCTAAGTTCAAACATTGTGTACTTTTATGAAAGTCATAGTTAATTAAAATTCTTACCAGTTTATTGACAATCTTGCCAATCTACTGTCTTGTGGCAAGGCTGAG